AATTTGACCTGTCAAAAAAAAGTAGCCGCTGAACAAAGTTTTGAATTTTGATGTCGAAACATAATAAAAAAAAGTCAATCAAAACTTTTTGTTGAAATATTCGAATGAAGATTTTGATTAAAATGGCATGCGTCTACGAGAAAATTGATGAAACTATTTAGTTTTCCTCAATCAACTCAGTTTGAAATTAGTTGTGTTCAGAAAACATTACCTTATTAACATACTAGGCGTTCATGGTTGAATGAAATGCGTAACTTTCAAACCATCATCATCGATTTGCGTATAAACCAGCATTGCACCCCAGACGCAGAAAAACGCTATTAAACTTCATTCATTACATTTTGATTCGCTCAACGACACGTTGAAACATTTTTTTTTAATTTTCGGCTGAAGATATTGTTGTCAAAATGGTATGACAAAATTTACACACATTTTGACGTTTTGAGTGACGAGATTTTTGGTAAAGAAACATTACCAAAAAATTGGAATACAATTGAATTAGTAAATCAATTCAGAGTTAATTTTCAAAACTTGAGGCTTCAAATCATTGGTTTAAAAATAATTTCGATGCACATCGGTTGCTATAAGCCACAAATATTGTTGTTTAGCCATGAAAATGATGACAAATTTTTTTGCTGATTTCCTTTTGTTCTGTAGATGGTTTTTGACCATCTAGCTAGTACTTTTTCTCACCTTGTTTTTTAGTCCGACAAAAAATAGATAGCTCTATTTGAAAAAAAAAGAGAAAATACCTGTGTCAATTTTTTAAAGTAACAGAAACTCACAAAAATAGTTTTTTAAATAATTTTTGCACGATTAGATTTTCATTTTCGTTTGCTTTCTAACGATTGATTTTCTTACTTTCTTAAAGACCGTTGAATTAACATCACTCATTTAAATACCAACAATCAAATGCATGAGAGCATAAAGAGTACCTAGGCGATACTAAAACAAATAGGAATGTAAAGAATACGAGTTAACTTATTTTATTTTAAAATTCATTTCGAGCACCAATTTTTTAGTGAAAGATATTGATATTGAAAAATAACGCGAAAAACGAGATAAATAACGTGAAGCACTTCAAAAAAATTTGAAGCATTTCAGAAAAAACTTGCTCAGCAAAATGTTCGTGTCTGTGTAAGAACGTAAGAAAAGGATAAAAAAATTCAATTTAACTATTCATCATATCCACTCAATTTAGCTGCTTGAAAAGACAACATAGCTCTACATAAGCACTCTGAAAAGGCCAGGTTGAATCAATAATATCATGGTATCTAATAATTGAGTTATCAGGATTGAATTAAAGATATTAAACTTTGAACTGAAAAATTTGAACATTGAAACTAGGCATCTGGTTATCTGCAAAAAACAGTTATTTGTTTTGCCAGTTTAAATTTTTTTTGCTCTACCATAACAAAAAAATGTCGAAACGGTTTTAAAATTTTGTTTACCAAAAAGTTTTTTATTCATTTTTTTTTTTCAATTTTGGAAAACGGAACAGTTTATATCAAACTAATTATGAGCTTTAATGCACCCCTGTTAAGATTATTCTGCAGATGAAAGTTTTCGGGCCCAATAAGCAGAAAAAGCCTAAGAACAAATATCAAGACAGCGCTAGTAGGCTAACAAAATGGAATCTGTTATTATGTCTTGAATAAAAAATGGTGGGCAAAAATTTGAGCTTACAAAAAAAAACCTCAAAAACAACAAAAAATTATGTGTTTCAGTTTTTCTAGCACGATGTTACGATGTTCTTCCGAATCGAGCAAGAGGTACTTTCTAGCAAGAATTATGTTCACTTGTTCTTCGGGTTTATAAGCATCTCAAACACCTATTTATTTATGACGTAGGACTTGCGAATAAAATAAAGTAATTTTTTTAGTAATGATTAATTTCCAAAAAAAGGAAAAAAGGAGAGTAGTGAGCAGCAAATAAATGAAAAAAGAAGAAAAAAAAGAAATTTTTATTTCAGAGAAGGTAAAAACAAAATAGTGCTGATAAAGCTTTAAAATCACAGGAAATAACCAGAACACGATTGCATCTACAAGGAAAAAGGCTGAAAGCATAAAAAATAAAACGGTAATTTAGCAATTTAGTCTACAAAACATAATCAGAAAAAAGATAAGAGACAATATTTTTGATACGGAAATTTTCGTCACATTTTATAGGAAAACCTTTTTGGCGTATCATTTTTAATTAGCTTACGAAGAATGAATTAGGTAATGATTCATAAATTTTAGTTTCATATGGACAAAAAATTGGAAAATTTGAAAAAAATTTGGCTGGAATTTCGGACGGAAAGTTTGTGTCCCAAAAAGAATAATTTCAGAGAAAGAAAAAAAAGTAAGACCAAAAAACGAAAAAAAAAACGGAATCATGGCTTAAAAATTTATTGATATGCTTCCTTACTTCAACCCATACAAAAAACGCTATAGCTTTGTTCCTTCTCATTTGGTAAAGGAGTCGTAACAATGAGCAAAAAATGTAAAAATTGTAGAAATTCGGAGAAAGAAAAAATATAGAATATCTGGGAACAAATCTGGATGATATACGCTAACATGGTTAAAATCTCAATCCTATAAAGTCACATGAAAAAATAGGATTGAGTCACATGCAGTAGCTTTTTTTGTTCTCATACAATCAAATGTTTTCTTTTTTAGATACCTGATATTACATTGAATGACCTGAAAAGATTCAACTGAAATGACAATAAACCAACATTTCAAAATGAATTGATGAGAACTTTAAGTGAATACAAAATCATCGAGAAAAATAAATTGGTGAGCGAAAATTTTTATTTCAGGCTAATTTTTTCTACCTCAATTGTTTTTCCGTTTGGAGAAAAACAGTTCATGTTTCTAATTTTGCCAGACATTATAAGATGAGTTTACGCGCACAAAATTTTAATATCATAAGAAAAGAAGAATTTTCTGGGATAAAGAAAACACCTTAGATTTTTATTTTGCCAGTTTTATTTGTAAATAATGGTGAACATTTATAAGCCTTACTTTGCTTTTTGATGGCTTGAAAGGAATTACAGGGTTGAAGTTCATTTCATCCTCGTTCTTTAAAAGAATATTTTTTAAAATTGTCTTAGCAGCTTTACTTCTGTGTTGATTTGGGGGGAAAAAACTAATTTTTGAAACAAAATATATGAACAGACTGTTGAACTGTGAGGCGAGAACTTGTCACTCTGCAGTCTACTCCTTTTTTTAATCTCAAGACTATTTCTCTCCTCAAAATCACACAGAAGAAAAGCTTTTAAAACGAACAATTTACCCTATCAAAACACAGAGATTAAATAAAACTTCAACCCTTGCAAATCTTTTCAAACCCTTGACATAAAATAAGGCTCTTAATTTTTAAATTAATTTCCCTAAATTAGACAAATCGAACAGAGTTTTCATGAGTTCAAATAATTGAAATGGTTTCTACGACTCGTCGCAATTTTTTCTAGATAATACTCTGTGACGAGATCAGCAACCATTACGTTCATTCAATCCCATGAAAACTCATAAATTACCCAGGCAAAAAAAGTTGAAACTTCGCGCAAATCAACAATCGAAGCTGGTAAAATTTGCAAACCATTTTAACAAAAAATGATCGCGAGTGAAATGAAAAACAGGCAATGAAAAATGTTTTAACAGACAGTTCAGTATGTCACTATCTCTTAGATGGATTCAAATAATCCTAAAACAAATTGATTTCAAAATTGATAATCACTAAGATAGCACTCTGGAAAGTTCATGTTGAATCAAATAAATTAGCTGTTCTATTAGAAATCTGAGCTTACAAACACTGACAGGTAGTTATCTCTGAATGGAAGCTTAATTCTATAATCAAAATCACAAACTTTGCTCCAACAATTTGAAAAAAAAATGTGCCACAACTTATTTTGAGCTTTTATCAATCAGTCTAAATTTAATCAATCAGTCATACTTCTAATTTCAATGCAGATGAATGAACTATGCCGATATTGACTATTTGACTAAATTCAGTGTTTTTTCACCTATATTAGTTTTTATTTACAAATTACTCGTCAAATACTGAAAAAAAATGTTACACTTGATGCTCTAAAATCGCATAATGTCAAACGAAGGGAAAAAAAACAGCTTCACATCACCTGTAATGCAAAGATAGCATGGCAAACTACCAGACCTAGAAGAGTTGAAAAACGTCGAAAAAAAACACAGGCGCGAATGACGTGGGAAAAACATCCAGGAAAAAATATCAATAAAACACTCGGTGGCGTGGAACAAATTTCCAGATACATTTATTGAGCAGCATATAAGACGATAAAATTTGAGTCAACTCTCACTGAGCCGAAGAAAAAATTTTGCTTAAAAAAACGTTCTATAACTATTTGAAATCTTCCAATTTTGTCTGTCGGTGTATTTCTAGAGGGGAACCGTAAAAATGCAAAAAATAGAAAAAAAAACGATTACGGAAAAAATGAGAAAAAAAACAAAATTTTTTGATAGGCTTTGTAAAATACAAAACAATCAAAAGCTAAAAAAATTTTCATCTCAAAACAAAAAAAAACGTTGACGAGGTGTTTCTTTCTTTAACACTCATTCAGCTATGATGATATGATTTGTAGGATTTGCTAATTCAAAAATGTCAAGAATAGTTATTCACCAATTAGGTTAAAAAAGAAATAAAGAGAGAAAGAAGATCATTTTAGTAGGAATGCCAATAATGTTCTATATTGCAGCTTTCTGAAAAAATTTAAAAAATAAAAATTATAATAATTTTTTTTCTAATAATTGTTTATGGTCAATCAATGTCCTTCTAAATTTTGAATGAGTACTATGTAAAGACATGCCAGAATAAAATTGTTCTTAGCTAAGTTTTCATCATCTGGCCTAATTTGATTGTAGGTCGAATGAAATTTTTAGCCTTGAGAAAAAGAAAAAATTTTTGGTAAGCGAAACTTGAATAAGAACGCAGTAAAATTGAAAATATGATAAGCTAATCTTTTTCATAGCCAGAAGATTAAATAGGGTTGGTGTTTTTGGTTGCAGAAAGGATCAGGTTGCAGAAGATGGGTTTTGGAGCTTTCATAAAGTCTTTTAAGTTATTTTTACACCCCCACACTAGATGACAAAATAGGTAAATAAAAACTTTTATTGCTGAGAATTGAAATGAGTAACAAAATGTTTTTTGATATAAATTTAACGACTAATTTTTTTTTGACAACGAAAATAGTGACAAAATTGAATGAAAAGTAAAGAATGAATGTGTAATTTTGAAATTTATCAACTTTTTCTGTTCCGGAGCAAAAACATTTAATTTTTCGATTGGCTCAGTCGCTTTTGAATGATTACACAGTTACAAAGTTTTAAACTCAAATCTAAGGCAATTAATTTAGCATTTAATAGCCTTATGGTCTTAGCCTTATTTTGGTCCAATGTTATAAAAAAGTTTAACTTTTTTTATTATTCTAAAGTTTGTAAGGGTTCATTTTTATAAAAATTGAAATTTCATTTGATAATTTTTCTGTAATACAGTAATTTTCTTAAAATTTCCCTAACTGCTCTGTTTATTAGTTTGAGGAAATCTCACGTTTTATAAAATAAAAGCTTTCAAAAACGATCAAAAAATTTCAACAATTGTGAAATGTATTTAAATAACTTTTCAGGGTATAAGGTTTTCTCAGATGACATCAAAGAATTTTTTTGCTAGTAAGTATAGTCTATAGTTGAAAAATTTCAAAAAAAACAATACCTTGCTCAGCAAAAACAATACCTTGCTGCATCTCTTTGCAAAAGAGTATGAGGAACAAAAACTTCAAATTAAACCTATATACCTAAACTTGCTTTTGAAAGCATTATATCGCAAGTTTAGCCAAGATTGTGTTGGATCAATTCAAATAGCTGTTTTGATAATTAGCTGTTCTAGACAATTTTTTTCAAACAGCTTTTTTTAAATGTCTCTCTCTTTGTAAATTGAAGATGAAAAGGTAAGCGTTTATTAGTTTGGCCTCGCAATTTTCTGGCTAGAAAGGTGGAGAGTTAACTCAAAGCCACGTCGAATATATTGTGTATTCTATTACACATTTTGAAATAAAGGAAAAATATTCAAACTTTCGAAAAAACAGCAATCTGAAAGTTTGAATATTTTTCCTTTATTTCAAAATGTGTAATAGAATACACAATATATTCGACGTGGCTTTGAGTTAACTCTCCACCTTTCTAGCCAGAAAATTGCGAGGCCAAACTAATAAACGCTTACCTTTTCATCTTCAATTTACAAAGAGAGAGACATTTAAAAAAAGCTGTTTGAAAAAAATTGTCTAGAACAGCTAATTATCAAAACAGCTATTTGAATTGATCCAACACAATCTTGGCTAAACTTGTATGGTTACTGGATACTAAATTAAATGGTAATTTTTTGTACGAATAAGTTTTTTATTGATTTTTTTCTGTTTCCATCTATTTCACGTTCTTTGTAGGATTTTATTTCCATTCTCAACACGAAATTTCCGTTCGTAACACCGGAAACTCGGACCACAAAAATTTTTCATCTCATGCAATACCACACAAACAAATCATTGGAAGTTTACAGACGGAAACGGAAACGGAAACGGAAACGGAAACGCAAACCACTAAAACGCTTGAACAATCGCAAGCGCCAAAAATTCATAACTTATTTATGGGATTAATTTGAAAAAACAACCAGGAAAACACATCCATGCATGCAGCAACTATGTCTGTGAATTGTCTGTGTCCATAGAGGAGACCTTAAATAATCAGGAAATAGTTAAATATTTGCAACTACAATTAAAATCAACTACAGCACAATAAGGTTTCCCGATGAGGTAGCCGACAATTTTTTTGAAATTGTTTACGATAATGTTGCTATTATCTTTATGTTATTGCTAATAATTTTTATCTATCCCAGTTTTTTCGGTCCCTCCAAAACGTGCTTTCTGCATGGGGTAGGTAAATTGCAAATCTGAGCTACATTTAAAGGTTATAAGTTTGTTAGCTCCGTAATATGGTCATAATGATTTTGAATCAAACAGGGTTTTTTCAGGGGGTTTTTATCTGACTGTTTTAAAGAGATTTTGACAAAAAAAATCTTAGGCCTCTGATACTGATTGGTTTCAGTTTCACAAAAAAAAGGTCCTGACCGGATTCGAACACAGGACCTTTTGTCCTAGGTTTACTCGTTTCTCGTAACTCAAGCATTCGATTAAACCGAAAACTTCGAATTCATTATAAATCAATCTACGATTCAGGTGGCTTTGTTCACTAAAAATCTTCTCCTTTGAGTGGCTTTGAGTAGAAAGTATTGATACCAATTTGATAACACAAACTATTCGCAATCGTACTTAAAAAGCAAAAATCTACAAAAATGGAAAGTTTTGACTTGCTAAATTTTCTATTATGTATTATTAGTGGTTTTAAGTTGTAATTTTTAGCCAGTTAGTGGAGATTGAACTAGTTAAACTAAAAACTCCAGAAATCTTTGATTTAAATTCAATTTCAAATTGTAGTGCAAGAAATTATTACTTTGAAGGACAAAAAACTCTGACCAAAAAACTAATAAGTTTAAACTTGAAAACAAAATAACAGACCCTGAGATAATCTTTTTAGTTCTCTTTAGAATCATAATCATGGCTTAATGAGCTTTTTATGCTATCATACTTGATCCCATAGAAGAAACAGGCTTTGCACCATTGTTCCTTCACACTTCACGAATAAATGGTAACAATAAACACAAAAAAATCGAAGAAATTAAATGTGGTAGATAGCTGAATTTTTACCTGTACAAGTGGTTATTCTTTCATTATATATCAAATGTGAGCCAAAATAAGCTAATTTATCATTTCTCAAGCGATTTGAAGACAGCTATTTAAAGATTAACCAATTAGGTTATTTAGATGATTTAGCAGCGCTAGGTATCATTTCATTTAATATGAATCCTTAACTGCTTACAGGGACCTTTTGTCGACCTTTTTTTATAGGTCGACCAATTTGGTTTTCCGAGCTCTCCCAGAGTACTATAAAATCCCTGGTTTGGCTGGCCAAATTTTCTACGCCGCAGGCAAAATTTTGAAGAAACAGGCAAAAAAAGGGTTTTTAGGCACTTTTTGGACATTTTCGACCAAAAAATTGCGTTTTTTCGGCGCGCGCTCCCCCCTCAAAATTAGTATATACTGGCGCCGATAAAAAAATTTAGGGGTCTGTCAGCCAAAAATGGATGTATTTAAATAATTCAAAGGGGGGACCCTTTGAGTCGGCAGGGCTCGAATCCATGAAAGAGAGAAGCGTCCATCCCCCCCCCCCTAAATCCGCCCCTGACTGCTTATAATATTTTTCAAATCATGTTTTTCCTAGAAACTTTTTTCAGCATTATTCAGCCTAATTTCAAAGTTTTGAATTCGAAATCGATCACTTGTTCTGATATACTCTGATAAAATCATAATGTTAGATATTTTAATTGGTTAACCATACGATAAGTTTAATTTAGGTTTCAAAAAACTGAAATTACGATGAAATCTAAATCAAATTATTTGTTCAGTTTTATAAACTAACATTTTTAAGAAAAAACAAGCTTGTAGCTTTTTTCATGCATTACGGTCATTTACATTTATTTAACAAGTTTTGAGCCTCGTATGAGATTAAAATTATTATTGATATGGAAGTTTTGTTTTGTAATATGAAAGATTTGTTGCTTAAAGTTTTTTTGGATATCAGTTCTTTTTTAGGTTTAGACTTTCTGCCAATCAGAAAGATTCTGCAGTTTATTTAGTTTTGCTAACAAATTTCGATTCAATTTGGTTCAAATTTCTTTGTGTTTAATAATTTGAAAAAATACCAGATTAAAATTGCAACGAAATCTTTTCTTTCTAAACCATTATGATTTATCAATCAATCCGGGCCAAATTTTTTTTCTGAATCATTTGAATATTTGATGATATACTACGATAGGTGGCAGAATCAAGTTAAATGCGTGGACCGCTCTTTGTTTTACTTCGAAAAGTATTTTTAATTTATTTCAAAAGCCAAATTTTTCGGAAAAAATGTGAAGTTTAAATTTTTGAATAACTATCCATCTGGCAGAGTAATCTTAAGCATTATAGTTCATAAACTAGTAACATAATCGTAGTAACATCGTGATTTTCACCTATTGTAAGATTGTGATTCTGAATTGTGATTGATTTTTAATTACTATTGACCTCGAATTCAGCAAATCTCCTTAGTTCTCCATTTATTGGTGAAATTGATCCGATTTCTGTTGTCATTTTTTATCATATTCGGGAGTATAACAGAAAAAAAAAATGTTCTGTTGTCTCGGGATGACCAAAAATACTAGTCATACAATTTCCATATATGGAAAAAGGCTAGTCATACACTTTCCATACAATTCCATACGTACAGAAAATTGCATGGAAGGTCTATGATTAGTATTTTTTCATATATGGAAATTGTAGGACTAGCATTTTTCCATAAACCAAAAATATTGATTTTTTACATTTTAATTTCTCAAAATTTTTGGTTGTGTTCGTAACCGAGCACAAATGACATAAACCTTGATTACTCAAACATAGTAACCAACGGTTTGGCCGTCTCTCTAAGAATAATTGAAGTTTCATTTGATAATTTTTCTGTAATACAGTATATTTAAAATTTCCCTAACAGCTTCTCTGTTTAATAGTTTGAGGAAATCTCACGTTTTACTTAAAAAAAAGCTTTCAAAAACGATCAAAAAATTTCAACAATTGTGAAATGTATTTTAAATAACTTTTCAGGGTATAGGGTTTTCTCAGATGACATCAAAAAATTTTTTTGCTAGTAAGTTATAGTCTATAAATGAAAAATTTCAAAAAAAAACAATACCTTGCTCAGCAAAAACTATACCTTGCTGCATCTCTTTGCAAAAGTGTATGGGGAACAAAAACTTCAAATTAAACCTATATACCTAAACTTGCTTTTGAAAGCATTATATCACTAGATTAGCCAAGATCGTGTTGGATCAATTCAAATAGCTGTTTT